TAGCCTGAAACCAATCACAGCCGTTACATAGACATGATGTAGTTCAATTTGCACAAGAAAGCATTAATCACAAGTTCCCTACTTGTTTTAAAACTTAATTCATTTGAATGGAAACTTTCTAACAAAACAAAAGGACAAATTCCAGTGCTAGCAACAGGAACTTAAAGATAAGATGTTGATAGAGGAAGCACTTCAGAAAAGAACCTGCCTCACTCGATGCCAGGCAATCCGCCGAAACAGCCGTCTCGTCGACAGCAAAGGTCGACCACTTAGGGTTCTTCCAAGAACCTCAGCAAAAAGGACAGTTCCAGTCTCCACAGCTGGCCTTCCCAGTCCCTGGCCACCACTCAATGCATCATCATCCTTAACAATTCCCATCTTCCCACAAACCATGAACTCCTCTGCATCATTTTTCAAATCACATAGTAAATGATCCATCTCTCTGGGATACAATGGCAGAACCTCCTTTGTCATCATAGTGCCCAACAATTCTGATCCAATATTCACATCAAGCCTATTTTCGTTGCCAGAAACCACAACACCAACCACAAAATCACCTGGTTTTGGCTGATAATATTCCACACCAACCTTCTCAGCTTCCTTCTCTTTACTCTCCATATCACTTCCCTCATCACAATCTCCTAAATCACTTCCCTCTTCTTCTAGTTCCCCCACCATGTCCCTCGGTTTAAAAAACTTCAAAAAAGGCTCCAACAATTCATCTTTATCTGTTTGTTTAGATTTTTCAACTTCTGGGGAAAACCCATCAGATATAGCCACTGGATTAGGCTTGTTCAACAATCCAAATTCGCCGTTCCCCGGAACTCCATCATTTTCATCACTTTCAGGGAAAGAAGTGTTCGGAAAACCATCAGCAACATCGTTCTGAGCGCAAAAACCAGTCTGTATACTCCTCCAAGTCGAAGTATTAGTACGAAGAGCAAAGGATTTAAGTGAGATTGAAGTGTTGAACACGGGGGGTTTTGGAAAAAGAACTTTTGTGGCATTCGCTGCTCTGATTCGGGAAGCGTTGCGTGTAATAGAAAAACCAGAGAGCGTTCCTGAATAGGTGAGGAGAAAGAGAGAGTTACAGTTGCAGCAGGCGTACATCTTTCTTATCCTGCGCACTTCATAAGCTGGTTATCTTCTCCTTCCTCGCGGCTTTTCTCGATTTTTTTATTATCCGTTTCCTCTGGTAGATTTTTAGGAGCAGTCTGCTCCTTGGATTTTGGGCCCAGTTTAATGCTTCATGGGAGATTGAAGCTCTGTAGTGTCTCCTGTCTTGAGCTTACTCTTGGGCTGCGGAGGCCTGGACCAAAAAAAAAATAATAATAATAAATAATAATAATCTTTATATGTATTTTATAAAATAATAATATATAATTTAATCAACTATAAAGATGATTGAATAATAATAAAAAATAATTAATCTTTATGCATTTTTAATTCTTTTAATTTTTATTAAAAATAATTAAAAAATTATTATGTATGATCAACAAAGATTATTGAATAATTATAGCGATTTGAAACTTAAAAAGAAATAAATTACAAATTGAACGCGAAAACAAAATATAAAATTACGTTTTACATTCTTTACACAATAATTTAGAAAACCCAATAGAACTATAGAAATGATCATTCTAAAAGAACAAGTGAAAAATCAAGAAATAAATGAAAAATAAACAATTAGATATCATAGGATGATCTTCACTAGCTGTTGAAGGGAGTTCGGGTGATGAACTATTCACAACTCCCTTATTGATCAGGATCTGAATCTTGGTACTCTTGATCTGAAATAGTTAATAAAATGGTGAACTACACTATTCCAGTAAGAATATCACACTACTCACCGATATAGAAATAAAAATTGGTAAAAATCATAAAAATAATTAATAGAGCTTTTAATTTAAGTACATTCATTTATCATAAATAAAATCATTTATTGCATACTTACCGTAGCAAGATTTTCAAAAACTGGCCTATAGATACAATAACACAAACAACATCATAATCTCATATTCAATTAATCAAAACAACAACTTTTTTTTTTATTTGTCTACTGGTATCCATGAGGGTCCATAGGGATGTCTTCACTACGCGTGAACTATCATTCAACATTTTCAACTAATTGACTGTTCTCATACTCCGTTCGGTATGAGCGCCAAAATACCAATCCTTAATACCCCATCCGGTATGAGGCGACGTTCACGATAAGGTTTCTTATGTACCCGGTCCGTTCACCATCTTCCAGGATATCCAGTAAGGCTACGATTCATTCATTCAATTAATCAAGCAATTCCCATTTGCATTTAATTTTCAGTTTTACAATTTAACTGTAAACCACGCAAGACAAGCAATACATGCATTAAGAAAACACAACTGAATCATCTTACCAACTCCAGTGTATTATTATGCATTTAAAACTGTAAGATCAATCAATCAGTTAAAACATGACAAACAGTAATAAATAACCACTTTTGCCTTTATTAGTAACTAGTAATTAATTATTGAAGTTTCTAAGTTACACAAAATACTGTATTATTTATAATTAGATTTCAATTCTATAATAAGGAATAAGGTGAGAGATTTTTATCCGAATTGGTGTCCGAAACACTAAACCTTCAGCTGCGCCTACTGGCAGCCCTCCGAGTTTCCTGAATTTTTCTTCAAAAATTAAAACACGCTTCAAGTACCTACAAGTACTCTAAAAAATCTAAAATCGATATTAAAAATCTTTTCCAGTCAATTTTAAAATTTCGACACGGCGGCACCGCCGTGCTCTGATGGCAGTTTACCTCGAACTGGCCATTTTTTACTAGTTTTATACTCATTCATGTGAGAAAACACGTTAAGGGGCATCGGTTAGCTGAAAAAAGTCGAAAAACAAAAACTCACTAGCAGCTAGATTTTTCAGTGCGGCGGCTCCGCTAGCTCACCTTTGTGGTTGGGTATTTTTCTTCAGTCAACATGTAAAAAATAGAATGTGAATACAATGGTAGAAAAATCGCATGAAATGGGAATAAAAAAGGGGCTCATCAGAGGTAATTTTTGATTTTTTATGCAGCAGCACTGTCGGGCTTTACCTATGGTTT